GAAAAATACTGCAGTTTACATTGTTTTGGTGTAGAGGGTAGAGGGCAGCGTAGTGCCCAATTAACGCGCCTAACACCTGTGACACAGACACTTACTTTAGTTTTTCATCATGAGTGTCATGACACCTGACTTATCGATACAATTCAAACATAGCCTGTGTTTTTATATGCAGAAAATGGTAAAGTGGATGTGTAATCAAACACTAATACTAGAAAATGCAGCCCAGGCATACTTATAATACAAATTTCAATTAACCACATTTAGAGATGTTTTTTTGGTTAAATCTAACAAATTTGGATGTAGTATAGTGGAACCCCATTGTATCGTGCTATCTGTGAATTTATGCATCCTACTTTCGTTTTCAATTAATCAGTCTGCCACCGATATGTCTAAAAGTTGTTTTTAAATATTCATAATACTGGTACTTTAATATCCATACTTGGAAACGTATCAAAAAATACTGTTTATGACAAGGAAAAGTACCAGGAAATGATAAAATCTTACCTAACGTAGCAAACGACTTGCAAATCTCATACCGGAAGTGTGAAAACGAAAATAACATTTTCGTAAATGCGTACTTGTATATCTCATGGTACCTGCGAAACTCATACGACACCGAGTTGGGCTTCTTTACAGATTCTGTTTTTCTCTATTTTATGGCCACATCAGTGTCATTTGTGTCGTGTGGCGGCTGCTAAAAGTCTCCCCGTACATTTAATCAAAATGTTATATTTTCGATCCTTGAAGATTGTTCAGCACGACATGTGTGTGTATACATGTTATGTGGTATTTTTAGCTTTGTTTGGCCTTTTTCAACTTGAGTGGTTCCAGTATTCCTACTTGAATACTGTATAATCACCTTTAGGGTATGTTGCCTGCTTTTTGAATAGTCTTTTGACGTCTTGCTACGCATTCTTTTATTTGGGGAGCATACGCCGCTTTTTATGGAATGGCAATGTGTCACATTGAAGGTTACATGCTATCCGCCGTATGAACACATCTACGGATGTTTCTAAATTCAAAATTGCACCATTTTCGTGTTTAAATGTTCAATTCTGTTTAAGCAGGTGATAGGGGGCGTGAACGGTAACTTGCACTTTCCAGTACGGTCCATGAACAGGCTCAATCAAACTGAGCCAGCAACATTTTTAATTTTGGGATTCTGTTTTTCTCTTTTTTACATAAAAAATATCACAAGATAGGCAAGACATGTAGTAGTATGTACATAACAGGGTTGGTGATATTGTAGTGGTTATTTTTTTATAAAATAGTATTGACAAATAATTTTAAAACCATACTTATGCTTTAGAAAATGAAATGCCAAGATTGTTACAGACCAACACAGTTTGTGTACAGGTATATAAACTTGATGTGTGATACCTTAGAAAATAATGATAATGGTCAAACAAAAGACATCCAGCTTCATCTGAAAAATACACAAATCTGATTATAAGTACTTATAGACAAGAATAAGTTTGAAATTTCTGACAAGGGAAGCTTGCTTTACTTTTTAAGTTTTGTACATTTGTTTATCAACATAGCTTACAGATATTGGTTTCTAAATAATTAGTCATATTTTTGGGAAACAAATCTGATGAGGAATTGTTCTCATAGAAATAAGTTTGAGAACAATGAAATTGGTCTCCGTTTAAACATGACATTAAGGGTTGATAGTGATTTTTAAATATGACGTCCAAACATTTGTTGATTAATTAACCAAAGTTTCAATTTCATAAGAGTACGTAAAACATATTATTTCAACAAAAGTATTATAAACATGTATTATTGAAAGACTGATGATGAGAAAGAACAATACAATTTGAAAACCCAATGTAAAATCTCAGATAAGTTAAGTTAAAGCTAAGCAAACAGATTGAGTTATACTGCAGTCAACTTGAGTCTCGACATGCGTAAAACATCTTATTTCAACAAAAGTATTATATACATGTATTATTTAAAGACTGATGATGAGAAAGAACAATACAATTTGAAATAAACTCTATCCCCTCAAGCAGATGATGCTGTTCGAGTCTCATAACTTTTATAATGACATTTTTAATATAGATTTCCCCTTAGATTATGTCTCTCAGCAAAACATTGATAGATATTGCAAATGCTGCAGTTACCTGTCTACTTTGAAGTCAATAAAATATTTTACTAGGAAATGCCCGTAACAAATCTCGATACTGTTAATAACCTTGAATAGGTTATAATCACTGCATTATGTCCAAAGATAAATAATCTTATTTAAAAGTAACCATATTAAATTGTTTATATGTAACTTAAACAGGACCTCCAACATAAAATGTTTTGCTATTATGTAGTGGGTATTGACATAATTGGCCTTTTTATTACAATGAAATCTTTTTCTTAATAAAGTAACAACATTGCTTAATTTAAGTTTCAGCTGAAAAGGAATTATTCTGATGTGTAAAACTGTGCCAACTATACATTATTTATAGTCTAAGTTTAATAAAATTAACTTTTTGTAGTGTTTGTTTTTTTATAAGAATTCATGCATAACACTATTCGTAAGTAAATCACCTATTTTGTTGACTGCAAAAAGTTTTGAAGCAAGTTTAAATGTATATAAACCCTGGGCACTGGGAATGGCTAACTTATATAGGTCTCGTGACTTCCTTCGGCGATACAGTGTATTCCTCATTAAATCGAATCGCCGAAATAAGAAACAAATTGATCAGATATTTTAAGAATATAAAATCGTTTTGTTTTGCAGGATTTGTGTTTGTTTGCGAGGAGTGTTGGAAATAGTATCAAACACATGGCAACGTAGATATATCTCAGTGAGAAGGACTACTATACACACGAACATTAACTCTTTGAAGTAATTTCTTTTCTTCAGTGTTTGAGTTATTTTTGGACCATATCTAATAAAGGTATATGTAATTTATTTGACACTTTATTGGAGGATAAATTACAATAAAGAAAAATACCCCAAACAGAAATGACAAACTTTTGTTTAACTATTATTTGTTTGCAAGGACCATAACTCTAAAGCTATTTGAGATATTAGCTTGAAATTACCTTGAAATTTTATATTAGACATTTTAATAGAGTTGAATAGCAGAGCATAAGAACCAGAAGTGTTAACTTAATGCTTTTTTGTTGTTTTTGTTATTTTGTTGTTGTTTTTTAGAAGGTTTAATTATTGTCGATTTTATTGTCAAAATTATTTGTCTTGGTTATACCTGAAAACGTGTCATTACATTTCACGAGTGTATGGCTGTTATAACTTGTGTTTTACATGTATGTAAGGGTTACTTCCCTTCTTTTTTGAGAGGGGGATTTGCTGTCTTTGATTGCTTCTTGTATAATTGTTATTATTTTACTGTGATTAAAATACCAATATATGGTAAAGACTGTGATAACTGTCATTTTTGTTTTATAATTCATTTTATTTTGTTTCTTCAAGTAATAGAAACGGACATAACATTCAGTCCTAAAGTTGTCAAAGTTGTCAATAATTGCGATACGTGTTTTATGCGCCATTGAATGACAGTAAATTGATTTATTAACCAGTTTACTACTCCAATCAACATATATTGACATAACGTACCATTATCATGATTTTTTAAAAACTCTAATCAACATCTTTCTAATGCCTTATATATCAAACTGTTAGCTAATTTTGGGCTTTTGAAGAACATTCTATGTAAAATATCATGACAAAGGAGAACGAAGACTGTACTTATGTCTAGTAAACAAACTGTAGAACAGTCAACACATAAAAATACATTTTCTCAAGATAACAAAATTGTTGCCAAAAATGCAATGTAAATCATGCGAGATCGAGTGCCTTCAAGTGTTGCCTGGTTAAAATACTAAAACATGTATATGTAGGATCTAACACGTGTTAGAATTTAATGAAATATATTAATTATTATTCTATGTTTTAACTGAAGTCATGTTTTGCATGAAATTGCCAAATATGATAATTATAACGGGTAGCAGTTTATATATTAATGGGGTTGTAACGTGTTAAAGTCACTTTGAGTCCAGAAACAGACATTTAATCTAAACTGGTTAGTTAAGATTCACATCCACTCGCCCATTTCTAAAGATAATTGTTTTGATTAAAACAAAATCTTTGGAATCCGGTAACAGTAAAGTTTTGACTTTTGAACCAGAGTGAAAGAATATGCATCCATATGTCAAGGATTTAAAAAAGTGTTTGATTGCAAATGGTTCCTTGGACATTGAAAGTGATTTGTGTGTGTTTGTTTGTAAGACCATCCCGGATTATTTATTATTATTTATGATTATCGTTCACTTTTTTAATAAACCGGCATTACTGTTTAAACGTATTAATGCAAATCAAACTGTTAATTGTTTTATATGGTGGCATATTTCTGCCACCAGATAACCTGATACCTAACTAGTTAATTAAGAGGTTAACTAGTTACGTAACTAGTTAACCTGATACCTAACTAGTTAATTAAGAGGTTAACTAGTTACGTAACTAGTTAACCTGATACCTAACTAGTTAAGTAAGAGGTTAACTAGTTACGTAACTAGTTAACCTGATACCTAACTAGTTAATTAAGAGATTAACTAGTTAAGTAACTAGTTAACCTCTTAATTAACTAGGTAGTTATATGGTTATCTGGTGGCAGAAATATGCCACAATAGTTTTACAATAAAATTGATATCTTTGTCTTAAATGGACAATACTAGACGATTACATTAAAGGATTTGCTGCTGTGCACGAGTCCAACAGAATATTAAATCAGTATAGTACTAAAATGTGTTATGATCTTTTAATAACACACCACCATTTTTTTACATCCCGAGAGAACTTTATTAGTTTGAGTACAATATGAATTTGACATGACTTAGAATTCAAGGCTGGTCAGAGCAAAATGTGGTCGCGATATGAAAAAATGGACTTTTTGTTGAATATAATTACAGCTGAATACATTATTAAATTGATATTGTTTTGGAATCGGAAAATGTAAACGAGATTAAATGATAAGATTCGATTCTGCAATCACTGTTTAATCATTTGTTACTTTTCATAAGTTTAGAGAAAAAAAGAAATACGTAATGGTTTAATTATGACGTAGTGTAGCAAATCGTTCTTTATGTAATTCTTTGGATCCAAACCGCCCATTTAAAGTCTAATATTTCTAGCATTGTTGTTGGCAATTATGTGGAATCATCCCTTCGGGCTAGATACCAACACACGCCGAGTGCATTTTTTTGTAAATTGTTCCTGTCAGTTGAAATTGGCCATTGCTTTGTTACTGCCCGACGACTGTCTTTTTCATGTTCTCTGTAAAAAGAAGGAAACAGTAAATGTTGCCAAACACATGTTAGTTATTTACAAAATGGTGTAAAAATGATGAAAATTAATAATTTAAGATAAACACAGCAGTGTGCTTTAAAAATATGTATACATTTCGGTCCGTGTAGGAGCTTCTCTGAAATCGAGTCCGAGTGGGAGCATTTTTCATTTTTTTATAATCTTCTTTTAGAAAAACTTACTTTTGAATAGAAATATTTGAAAACAATCTAGAAAAAAAGTGTAAACATGACTCGGTTAATGCTCTGGAACGTTAAAGATAATTTTCAAGATTATTTCTTATAGGTTGTGTGAAAGTCCAAGTGGGAGCATTCAGTGAAAAACACATATCCCGTTTTCAGGCCTAAATAAGGCAATAAATGTAAAATCTTTTTTTTACAATTATCTCATGGACTACAGTTATTGTTTTGTGCGCTACATTATTCTTTGATACTGTTACTTTTTCTTAAAATAGAATTATATTTTACCTTCGAGTCGACGGATTTTCGGCAAAATATGGTCCGAGTGGGATGATTCTGCTGGTGCGCATGACGAAGTATTCTACCATTGACCTTCGATACCACGAATTTTCGGCAGAACATGATCGAGTGGGAGCATTTAGCAGGTGCGTGATGAAGTTGAATCCCAGCATCGATACTTGATACCTGAAATCGATCCTGCCAAGCCAGCCGATCAAATCTACTATTCTTCTTCTTAAACTATAAAATAGTGTCCATATCGTTGTCTTTCTGTGAATAATGACTTCAGGCTCAAGTTTTTCGTTGTAAGTGAACTCGAACTTGTTTTCTCCTTTTCCTGACAGAACTATATATATATTACATTTATCATCAAAAACTTTGAACTCTGCGTTTTGTAACGTTCTCTTTGTTTCGACCCCTATAACGGAAATCGCATGCAGAAGCAGTCGTCTAAGTACAGCATTATTTTCATCATCTTCGGTGCCTTCATTTCCACATAGCGATATAATCATTTTACCAATAACTCGTTTGTTGATGACGTCTACAATACGTGGTGTAATCTTCGTCGCCTCCATTGGTATACATTCAAACGTCTGGCGAACATAAACATAAAATAGATTATTGGTGCTTATTGTTATAGCATAATTATAGAAAATATTAAAACATTCTTTTGTTCAAGAATAAATTTGTAATCAAACGTTGATTTATCGGCGTATAAAAAACACATATACTTCACAAATATAAACAATGCTTTTTTCTGAAGATGATGCCAATAAGCCGGCAATGATAAATTTATATAACAAGAACATTCTTAAATGATCATCCTTGCTTTATGATACAAATCAATTGAATTAATAGAGAATATCAGTTTTTTGTACAAATACAGGATTCACCTTTATCGAGTGGTATAAAAATAAATATTTCATGAGTAGCAGTACCTATGAGTGAAATATGATATTTTTCATACCACTAAATGAAAAAATGAAGAAGGAAATCCTGTTTTTTTATATTGCCAATTCAATTTGTCCTAATGAATGCAGTTTTATTTCATTGATATTTCTTTATAATTCGTCTTTATGAATATGGTAAAATTATGTATTTCTTTTACAACTTTTACTTTTAAATAATTAGAACGGGACTCCTAAGGAATGCCTAAAACGGCAAAAACGAATATTTTGAAGGCTCGGATTGATAGAAACTGTATCATAACGTCCTAAGTGGTAAGAACTATCTTCTGCAGCCTATCCTCCCACGATCAAACAGTTGTAGTATATGAAATTCGAGCAGAAACATCCCTCAATTTCGCCCAAGTCAGTGTTATATCCTCGTTTACTGACACTTCAAATGGATTCTTTTAAAGATTGGGAAAACTAAAAATTATTGCTAAAGGTAATAACATATTATTGGAACCTCACAATAAAAAACCCACACGATTGAGTAATTTCAAGCACAATAAAAAGGACAGACTTTTGAAATATTATGACATAAATATCAAGTATGACATTATGTAAGGTCATTAGGTCAATAACCCAGGGTTTGTTACTGAAAGGCTAACACGTTAGGATCAAATAAATCTTAAATAAACATTTACACTGATTTATGTCGCAATGTTTATTGTAAAGTATACATGAATAAAATAAATCTGATTTTTACATTTTTTTCACGAGTTCCCTTAAATCTAAAAAATTGCCGTTAACATAACATGTCATAAAACGTGTAAAATCTTATGTTTCACGTATATACAGACATGCAGACAGAATGAATACTGTATTACATTATTTATTTTGATAAATCATTTTATTACAATTTTTAGCAAAGTTTTATCAGACGCTCTACAGGCTATGTATTTTTTTACCTTGATTTTATTATTTGAAATTGTTTGTTCGGTTTTACGGTTATCCAACACATTTTACGTGATATGGCGCCGAATCAGGAAATATTTTTCCTAACCCTTAGCCACAATGGCTGTTCAAAGTAATAAAGGATCAACAACAAATAACACTTTAATAGACTTGACATTTAACGTTAAACATTTTGTTATTGAAATATGAATTGATGACAAGTTAGCTCAATAGAGCACATAATTTGTGACAGATTAAATTTACTTTGAAATGTCTCTTTTGAAACTACAAAAAAACCCCAAATATTTTGATTACGTTTGATGGCTGTAATTTATACATTCATGCTGAGTTTTATTTAAAGATATATTTTATGCTCATCCTTGTGTAAAATCTTTTTATCACAGACATTTATTGAAATCTATGTAATTTTACCGAATATATCCAATTTGAACAAAAGAATGAATAAATTATCTATTGAAGGTTGTGTGCCGTACAGGTCAAGTAAAATTGGCATTTTCTTAAAAATAGTTGCCAGTTTTTTAATGACACTGTATATTCATATTATAACCACCTTTAGTGTGTATAATTTAAAACACAACATATCTACTTTGTGTGAAATTAAAATATGTTTATTTTATATTTACAAAGAGACTGTGTAGCAATTATAGATATTTTCAAATATGAAATTTGAGCATAGTACTTACCTTTTAAAAGATAAACCTAAAGCTCATTGTTTAAATTAACAAATAGTCATGATTCAAATTTATCAAAGACTCCTGGTTGCATTTCAATGGTTCATTTTCCTATTCATATATATAATTTCATCAAGTTTCAGTACAAAATGTAACACCCATTCTAAGATTAAGATCCGGACAGGAGGATGAACGGACTGACAGAAGACAACAGGATTTCAATGTACGGGGATTATTTATGTTTTATTTCTAAATATGCCCTAAGATAGCCTACTGTATAACAACAACATATTCCTTAAAGGAATTACTTGTGTACATAAGAACGCTTATTCTTGGGTATTCTATATCAATCGTTCTTCGAAAACAAAGACGGATAAAAATATATAGCTAATATTCAAAATTAAATCAAAAGAGAACAAATATCAAAATTATACCTCGGCTGTGTCCATGCATATCCAACTTAAAATTGACTTCGATATTTTGTAGTCGAATATAAACACAATGTTAACGATCATAAACCAATGGTTTTAGCTATATTGATTACATTTGCCCATTAAAAATCGTCGTTCAATGTTATGCACGTTTCTGTTATACCTTCCTTAATTTGCTATATATCAAACATACGTATAACTCAAGTTTAAAATACAGACAATATTTCCCTTTACCTGTCGTCTTGTATCATTAGCTTAGTTATTACAGATCTCAACAAAAGTATTTGAAATAGGCATTCACTATAGATAATCGCATGGTTTGTTTTCACTCACCCATTATATTCAGAACACATTCAATGAGGATTTGAAAACTTTATTGATAAATAACAGTTTTGTAATTGATTCATATTCGAAAACGAACTAAATATATAACAATTGAGTTTTTCTGCGCCTTATGTATATCAGTATAGATCTTTTACAGAGGTTGGAATGTGGAATATCATACATTCCAAAAAGCAAAAAACATCGATTAATAAGCTGGTATTGGTTTTTTTTAGCGTTTACATTTGTAACGAAACGGAAAAGGCACAATAAAGGCCAAAGTACTGAGTGCATTTTTTTGTGATTTCTGTTAGAAAAATTAAATTGTGATAAAAACATATAAAACTCGTTACAGGAGTATTACATACATCATTATAATGGTAAATATAAACATTCATTGGTTAAGTAAAATAAATGGATCACCTCTCAAGTGAAGATTATTTTTGATGACTGAAACATATCTAATTACACCTTTACGGTGCTATTGTTTTGATATTTCGTTTGTTTAATTTTAATTCTTAAATTCTTGAAGATTATTTTCAGCACCAAGTTGCATTACTCTAGTGACTTTAATCAATGTAGATGTTGTTTTAAAAGTTTGACTGCAAAACCAAATTTTATGTCAAAAGTCAAGGGCACTGTAAAATGAAAACAAAACTTTGCATAAATATGCAGCTTTACGAGAACTTCACAACACACCTATTTATTTGGTAGAACTTCTCTTTTTTTTATTAAACCCCCACAAACAAAGTCTAAGGTGAATATTGGAATCAGTTTTTCGGAAAAAACTTGGTTTTTAGCAACCTTATGTGGAACTCCCTGTTGGGAATACTTCTGTATGAATCACATTTGGACCTCCTGAGGTCAAGGTATAGGTCACTGTAACAAAAAATAATAGGTTAATAGTCTCAATAACAATAGCAATTGTTAGAAAATGAGATATTGTAATAAAATGGTTTAAAGCATGCTCATATGAGGACCCCGGTTCGGTCGCTTTTTGACTCTTATTAAAAATAGAAAAATAGTTTATGTATGCAGCATTTATTTTTATCTTACTATAAATCAATGGAATGATTCCTCTTTGTTCAGGCCCGAATGTCCGTTGTGACTTTTTTTGCATCTACACAGTAGGACGAAACAGTAAAATAATGTATATTTTAAAATGTGTTTTAGAATACTTATTTGAATTATTAATAAATGATGAATAATAATTATGAAAAAAAAAAAACAAACAAAAAAAACAGACATCAGTTCAACACAAGCTTTGTATTTTTAAAATGTTAACTGTTATTGGAAAATGTTCACGTTAAAAATATAACAGTCGATTTTATTATACGTTATGTCATTGCAATCGTTTCCTTCCATATGCAACCACTAAAGGACCAACAACTCCAGCGAACTTCAACAAAACGGAAAGATCTGCGTTGATCACACTTTGGCATATTTTCCTAGTAGGCCATTGTCTTTCCCAAAATATTGTGCATTTGTCATCTTCCATTGCTATTCGGATGTATTGTTGTTCTATTATTCCCCTACCAATATAACAATATTCTCTGTCTTGAAACTCAATGCAGACCGTTGCGTTTTTAATATTTAACTTGCTGGCTTCTCTGCTGATTTCCTTCTTTGCAAAATTAAACAGTTTTCTGTCGCGCTCTGTCAATTCTAGTACAAAGGGCAGAATTTCGTTGTTTATATCTTCGGTTGTTATTGTGCCTTTTTTCTCAGCGGCCTGAAAATGTCGCATTACAAATGATATAGTTTGTGTTATAAACGTGTTGATGAATACAACGGCTATTGCAAATTATTTTTGTTGCATCAAATATTATTGCTGCTTATATTGTGAATGACGAAAAATGTTACTTTGGTTGCATTTTGTATGTTAATTAATAATGTTAGTTTGCCCACTTGCCTTGATTTATACGGAAAATTGAGGTAAACAACTGAAATTATATTAATAAGTTGTGTTACTTTGCTGCTAGTTATCTAACTTCTTCAAATGTCGTGTCATGTAGGTTTTAAACTTGTTATTTCTTTTTGTTTAACGATGCAATACAACCGTCATGGTGAAACGGCCTATAACATTGGTACATTTTATAATTAAAACAAATAAGCTGCATGCATAATGCAGGTTAACAGGTTAAACATGGGAATTTTATCAAATTAATAAGTTGAATAAATTGTATTTTCGATTACATTTGCTATCAATACCCACTATCTAGTTCAAAGTTTTATAAGTCATCGTTTTGAATTTTACAATAATGTTTTCTTATATTGAAAATGAAATTGTACAATCATTGACATTCTTTAAAAAAATTATCATACCTCGGAAACAAAATCAAATTCGTATCTTAACGTGCGTAGGTGACGAAAGAAATTATAAGGTTTGTAATTAACTTACGACAAGAGCTTGAACTCCTCCCATTATCCCACTGTGAGACACATATACGTATAAAATCACTCTGTTAATAAAATTGTTGGAATGGAGGTTACTGTTATAATGATATATGCGTATATTATTGATTATCGATTTATTAGATACTTGTATATTGTAAGTACTAGAAGAAAGAATGACAAAATTGTAGTGTATATCGAACGATTATTGCTCAACGATATGCAGATCTTTTGCAGTTTTCTTGGATGTTTATTTCATAAATGATTTACAATATCTAAAAACTTAAGTTATACTAGATCACTAAGTTATTACGAATAAATATTGCTTCTCACACCATGTACCTTGTAGTTTTCTTATTGTTATGATTATTTCCTCCATTAACTTATCAGCTGTGAAACGAGATTTAAGTTAAATAAGTATTTAAATATGCAATGTTTAGCTCTGTCAAAGTTTTCTTCTCTTTGAACTGGCTTTTTACTAATTAATTCTTCAAATTGTTTCATAAGTTTTTACATTTTGCATTAGCGCGTTTTTATTTTAACCATGAACTCATAAGATTTAATACTTAGAGAAGGCATATCAGTTTGACCTGTGTCTTTAAAATAAACATTGTATTTCAAGCGGTTAAATACTGTTTCAAGCAAATAGTAACATGATTTAATATTTATTGCAGTTTTTGACCTTAAATACATCGCATGTATACAGTTGACATTGTAATTTTATCAAACACAGAATATCGATATTATAGTAGTGGATTGTTAATTATTATGGCATGAAAAAAGCCCGCTTATCATACTTGCTTAATTGTGCCGAAATAATATCTGGGAGGGATGATCAAAAACAACGTTAATGCTATTATATAGTTCATTCTATCGTTTACAAAATAACTCTGTTATGAATATGAATATGTCAGGCATATTCTAGCAACAACTTAGTCTGGTTTATTGGGTTTAACGTCGCACCAATACAGTAAAGGTCATATGTCGCGTTTTAAAAAATGTACCGGTGGAGGAAGATCTCAGGTGCCCCTATGTGCATTATTTCAGGCACGAACGAGCACCTTATTTAAACCATCGGCGTTCATTAAACTAGCTTAATATGTTCTTCACATGAAATAATTTAAAAGTTACTGTCGTATTACGAACCCACAGAGGTTAGGGGCAAATGGTTTGAAGACAACGACCTCAACCACTTGGCCACATCCCACAGAATCTTAGAAAAAATAACAAGTCTTGGAAACAAATAAAAAAATATTGAATAACTACTACAAAAGAAAATGGTCGCGCCCGTGGTTGCTCATTTTAATGATGTCATCACGTCGTACGAATATTTTAGACGACATATATTAAATAGGCGACATGTGTATCAGAAGTCTCTTTGAGTATGTGTTGCTTTTGTTCCAATTTCATTTCATTTGCTCTCGATGGCAATGAAAAAACATTGTCGGAAAATAACTGCAAACAATTGTTGATCATACAATGCGACAGTCTTACTACTAGCTACATGTACGCGTAGGTTCTGAAGGGATCAAAACAGCATTTTCTTCATCTGTTTCCTCATGGATATATAATGGTGAAATAATACGGAGCCATGTTATAAAACCGATTGATACATGTTGTATTCATGAAATTTGTTTTATAGATAATATGTAAATTTTGATTCTCAAGGGTTTGATAACACGAACTTCAAATTTCATTTGAAAAATAATTGATCATTAATGTTCGACACACAGTACACTGTTTATGCAGATATATTATGTTAACACAATTTGTGATATTATCGGAAACAGATATCAAATTTGAATACGATACATCAAAATTACCTTTGTCGTTATTTTTCTTTTCAATTTGTCAGTCGGTATCACATATATGATCGTTTGTGCAGCGCATCATTTTTTTGTCACGTCATACTTTGTCTTTCTAACAAGACCTACATGCACTGACCTTTTGACTGCCCTTGCCGTCAAAAAGTAAATAATTTCATGGATTTTCCGCCGGTTTAACGACGATATTTTTCAATCTAGAAACACTGGTGACACTGCACTTAGAATATTGTTGTTTTAAAGTCGCAACATTCATGTTACATACATTTTTGACATACACAAATGTAACAGCATTGCATATCTAACTACCATTTCGTATCGTTTTGCGCTTACCCGCCTGCCATTTGTCTTAAAAAA